ATCAGGACGGTCTCCCCTCTGGTATGCCCTCAGGCATGCCTCTCTGGCCGTCGGCCTCTTAACCTGGCCTCTGCCCTTTCCGGGCAAGTGTGTTACAAAGCTCTTTTAGCTCTGTCAATAGGTACACCTATGTGCACCTCACTCTGCCAGCAAGCCTCCTGCCCAAAGGTACTCAGCTATCTCATTCCATGGACCAGCAAGACTGCTGCTATCTTGTGCCTCTTGGTTCCTCTGTGGTCATCTCAGCCAGTCATCTTCCAAGAAGGTCCAACAGGGATCTCAAGTCCAAGGATGCGCTCCACTTCTCTTCCAGCTCTTCCCTCTTGATGGCAGTGAGATCCCTCCTTCTGCCTCTAGGAGGGCTCATTGTAAGCCCAGCTGCTTAGCAAAACTCATCACTCCTCACATTAGAGTTCTATATACCTTATTTGCATGGTCCTACCCAGTAATCTTAGGAGCTCTGGTAGGGTAGTGCCTAAGGCACTTGACTGCTAACCAGAATGCTGGCGGTTCAAACCTACCAGTCACTCCTCGGAAGGAAGATGGGGCAATCTACTTCCACAGTGATACTGCCTCGGAAACCCAAGGAGGGGTCGCTATGAGTTGGGTCCGACTCGACAGCACATAACAACAACACCACCCAGTAATCTTATGGGAGTCACAAAGACTGGGTAGAGAAGCCATACCAAGTAACTCACTGAACCACACTCACATATGCCTTCCTACAGACTTATAAGAATGCATATCTACCCACATACCCACACATTTTTGGTTGTTGTTACTACTGTTGCAAAATTGTGTATGTTAAAGCATTATCAAAATTGTCCCTTTTTCTTATGTACGTCCCAGTGTCTTTATTTATCTTGGTCATGTTGTGCTGACTTCACCCACATTCGGCCTCGTCTTTCCCATCACCAAAAGTAACAAGGATCTACTATCTCAAAGTGATTTCTCCTCCCTCTCCCTCTCCCTCCCACCCCTGATAACCACCAAAGAACACTGCTCTCTGTGTGCACATCTGTTCTGGGTTTGTTATTATAGTGGGGCCATACAATATCTGTCCTCTTGTGTTTGACTCACTATACCTCCTACAGATTCATCCATGTTATAAGATGCTTTGCAGACTCATCATTAGTTTTTATCACTGCATACTATTCCATTGCATGTACCACACTTAGTTTATCCATTCATACATGGATGAGGACTGCGGTTGTTTCACTCTTTTTCCTATTGTGATCAATGCTGCAATGCACATAGGTGTACATAACAGATTTGGTTTTATGGTCCTTTTCCAACATACTAGAGAATACAGGCCTTGAAAAAGCCAGAGGAAGGAGCCAGACCCTGCTGGCCCCTCCTGCCCAGACCACGCCCAAGCAGTGAGGTATCAAAACAAGTTTAGAGGTAAGAAGATGAAATTTAGCTGAATATGAGTGCCTAAGGCACTTGACTGCTAACCAGAAGGCTGGTGGTTCAAACCCACCAGCCACTCCTCGGAAGGAAGGTTGGGCAATCCTACTTCCGTAGTGATACTGCCTCGGAAACCCAAGGAGGGGTCGCTATGAGTCGGGGCTGACTCGACGGCAAATAACAACAACATGAGAAACTGAACTGAGTTCTAATAATTCAAATGTTACAGAATGTAACAGGGAATTATCAGTTGCAAACAATGACTGGAGAACACATAACTTTTTTCTATCTTGCTGATTTGAGAAGCCTCAAGAAACATTAGCTATAAACTACAATAAACTCTGAGTAGAGGAGTACGTGGTGGTGCCACAGGAAAACAAAGGGCATGTAAACCAGGGTGAGGCAAACTGACAGCAACAGCACGGAGGGCAAGCACGTCGCATGTGCAAAGGCAGCGAGGTACAAAGACCCAGCACACAGGGAACTGCAGTCTGCTGGACTAGGGCACAGTGTGTGCGCTTGCAGCAGAACATGGGCTAGAGATGCAGCCATGGTCACGTAGGGTGGGGGAGGGGACGAGAGCTCATTGCAGAGAGGCCAGTTAGGAGGACAGGTCATTAACGGAGAGGGGAAACACTGGGTGCAGACCTGAAGGTAAGACGGACAGAAAACAGATTTCAGAGATTAGTTTGGGAAAAATGGCCAGACTTCGTCTCACATACTTTGGTCATGTCAGAAGGGACCATTCCCTTCTGCTTGGTAAGGTGGAGGTCGACGAAAGAGGGGAAGGCCCTCAATGAGATGGATTGACATGGTGGCAGCGGCAATGGGCTCAAGTACAGCAAGAATCACGGAGCTGGCTCAGGACTGGCCAGTGTTTTGTTCTGCTGTGCATAGGGTTGCTATGACTTGGAGATGATTCAACGGCATCTAACAACAACAGTTTGGGGAAAAAAGGTAGAATGCTTGGGATAACTCCAGACAGGCAGACTGGCAGATAGCCTGGAATGGGGAACAAGATGAAATAAAGATGACTGGTTTACATACGGGTCACAAAATGGAGACAGCCAGTAGTTACATCTATGGGTCTGAAACTGAAGAAAGAATTCTGACTTCAAAACGAGGTTTAGGAGGCATCAGCTCACAAGTAGGTGATCAGAAAATTATCAGTCTTTGCAAGGTTAGAATTTTCTGCTATGAATGAAAGTCATAAAAGGGATTGCTGGGTCTCACAGAGTGAAACAAACAAACATAAAAGGTGGGGGGTTGGACTAAGGTACTATAGAGCTCAACTTTGCAAAAATGAATTGCTGAACTTTATCAGTTCCCACATTACCACAGTTAACCCGCATAATCATATGGCACACTTTACAGGGAACTGCCGGTAATTCAAGCCAGATTCAGAAGAGGACGGGGAATGAGGGATATCATTGCTGATGTCAGATGGATCTTGCCTGAAAGCAGAGAGTAGCAGAAAGATGTTTACCTGTATTTTACTGACTCGACAAAGGCATTTGAGTGTGTGGATCATAACAAATTACGTTATACGAAGAATGGGAATTCCAGAATAGTTAATTGTGCTCATGAGGAACCTATACATGGACCAAGAGGCAGTCATTCACATAGAATAAGGGATACTGCATGGTTTAAAATCTGGATAGGTTCGTGTCAGGGTTGTATGCTTTCACCATATTTATTCAATCTGTATGCTGAGCACATATTCCAAGAAGCTGGATTATATGAAGAAGAATAAGGCACCAGGACTGAGGAAGCCTCATTAACAACCTGCGTATGCAGATGACACAACCTTGCCTGCTGAAAGTGAAGAGGACTTGAAGCACTTACTGATGAAAAACACATTATGAATTACGCCTCAACATAAAGAAAACAAAAATCCTCACAATTGGACCAATAAGCAACATCAGGATAAAAGGAGAAAAGCAGAAGTTGTCAAGGATTTCATTTTACTTGGATCCACAATCAACACCCATGGACACCACAGTCAAGAAATCAGACAACATATTTCATTGGGCAAATGTGCTGCAAAAAGTCTCTTTATAGTGTCAGAGAGCAAAAATTTCACTTTGAAGACAAAGATGTGCTAGCCCAAGCTATGGTATCTTCAGTTGGCTCATATGCATGTGAAAGCTTGACAATAAATAAGGAAAAAAGGAAGAATTGATTTTGAGTTCAGTGTCGACAAAGAACACTAAAAATACAGTGGACTTCCAGAAGAATGAACAAATCTGTCTTGGAAGAAGTGCAGCCAGAATTCTCCTTAGAAGCAGAATGTTCAGGCTTGGTTTCACATACTTTGGTCATGTTGTCAGAAAGGATCAGTCCCCAAAGAAGGATATCATATTTGGTAGAGGGTCAGCTAAAAGGGAAAGCCTCTCAACAAGATGGACTGACACTGTGGCTACAATGATAGTCTTAACCACACCCCAACTGTAGAAGATGGCTTGGGATCAGGCAGTGTTTTGAATTCCGTTGTTGTCCTAAAGGAAAGAAGACCCCAGATTCAAACAGGCTCAATAGAGACAGTTTTATTAAGCTCTGGACAGAACAAAGACAATCATCCAGAATGAAGGAAACTATAAGCGTGTACGGGAGCTCTGGTAGCGAAGTGCCTAAGGCACTTGACTGCCATCAGAAGGCTGGCGGTTCAAACCCACCAGCCACTCCTCGGAAGGAAGATGGGGCAATCTACTTCCGTAGTGATACTGCCTCGGAAACCCAAGGAGGGGTCGCTATGAGTCGGGTCCGACTCAACAGCACATAACAACATCAACATATACACAGTACAGAAAGCTGAATGAAGTCTACTGAGTCACAGCCATGGGGCTAATGTTATAAAACAAAGGGAATCACCACAAAATCATGATTGGTGGTAGATGGATTCATTACTGTCGCAGGTGAGAGACTACAGAATCGAGGAAAGTACCGTGATTGGGATAAGTACATTACTGAAGATTAAAAAGGGTTCTAGGATTAGGGTCCTTGACCTCGCTAGGTGTTGGTCCAAATACACTCATGACCATGCCACGAGATGACTACCAAACAATACCTAGACCCCAACCCTAATTTAAATTAGAAAAGAACACACATCCGCAAGTTCCCTATTTCTTTGTGCATAATCTACTTTCAACCAATTTCTGAGTGAGGCCACAATATTGAAGGTCAGAAGGAATTTAACTTAGGCGTGTGAACCTATGTCAACGCCCAAAATGGAGTTGCACCTCCCACTGTAAACCACAGCCTTCCACACACCAAGCTCTGTTCAAATTTAAGCTCTGATACACTGGGCGCAGGATCGTTATGAATCGAAACAACCCGGCACCGAACAACAACAGTACCCGTCCTCCATCATCTGGTGGGCGGATTTGATGTCTATCCTTGTCTTAAGCGGTATCTTGAGCACTCAGTAAGTATTAACGAGGGAATAAATGCATGGGTTGACGCAACTTGCATACCGTATCTTCACAAAGGGGAGGACATTTGGGCCAAGCACAGCACAGCCGACTACTTCCCTAGCTTCTCTTTCTTTCATTTCCCAACTAAGTCCCGCCAACGCTTTCCAACGCGGGTAGGCGGGGCTACGTGGCGGGATCCAGTGAACGTGATTACGTGCGGAAGCGAGGGGCGGGAGTACGTGGCCGGCTCCCGGGCGAAGTCGGTGGGACGATGGAGGCCCCGGAGGCGGGGCAGGGTTCGCGGAAGTGAGTGAGGGGGCGGACGGACGCGCGGCGGAGCCGGCGGGGTACAAGGCACGCACACAGCCGCTCCTACTTACCTTAGGACCCCGGGCGCTATTTCTTTGAGGAGAACCTCGTTGAGGTTCCGCCCCAGCGGCTCCGCCCCAGACGCCCATTAGCTGCTTCTCGCGAGCCCCATCGCGCCGGCCAATTACAGCCCAGCGCGCCCGATTTCAAATCCCTGGGCTCCTCCCAGTGCCGCCCTGGCGAGTGGAGGACTTCCGGGCGGAAGTTGCGTTCGGGCGCGAGGGGCGTCCGGGCGGAAGAGGCGTCTGCGTTTGGAGAGTCTGGGCCCGAGGGGCGGTCTGGGAGGGCTGAGGGCGGTCCCCCGGGGAGGGAGGAGGTGAATGCTGCCGCTTGGCAGCTCAGTAGCCGCTAGGCGTGGTGCTCCTTGGGTGTATGTGTAAGCGGGGAAACGGTCGATGTTGGGTGACTTCTTAAGGTATTTCCCCGCTGCAACTCTCAGTCCACCTCATGTGGTAACTCTTCACTGATACATTACTCAAAATTTAGGCATATGGTTTCATTTAGCAGTCTCCATCGCCTCATGTGATTCGTTTTCCGTTTTGAAAGTTACTTTGGGATCACTTGAGTAACAGACCAACTCTATCAATGGAACCCTCGTACCACCTCGGCACAGCAGTAATGAGGGTAGGGGGCCCTCATGAAAGACTTAGGGCCGTTTTGCCACAGTGTACCGAGGGGACATCGTTAGGGGCCGCCAGGTTGGTTGTGACTCACAGCGACCCCGTGCACAACAGAATGAAACCTGCGGGGCCCTGTGCCAGCCTCACAATCCTTGCTGTGCTTGAGCCCATCACTGCAGCCACAGTGACAGTCCATCTCGCTGACGGCCTTGACTGTGCTAGCTGAGCGCCCTTGTTTATATTTTTCACTGCTTCCACTCTTTTATACCCTTGAGAAGATATTCTCAATGTTAACTTTTGGTTCTTTTATCTTCATCTATATCTATTGGATATCTAAGGAGCTCTGGTAGCGTAGTGCCTAAGGCACTTGACTGCTAACCAGAAGACTGGCGGTTCAAACCCACCAGCCACTCCTGGAAGGAAGATGGGGCAATCTCCTTCCCTAGTGATACTGCCTCGGAAACCCAAGGAGGGGTCACTATGACTCGGGTCCTCATTGGCACATAACAACAACAACTACCACTTTACCGAGCATGATATCCTTCTCCAGGGAATGGTCCCTTCTGATAACATGACCAAAGTAGGTGAGGAGTATTCTGGCTGCACTTGGTCCAGGACGTATTTGTTCCTTCTTTTGGCAGTCCATGGTACCTTCAGTATTCTTCACCAACACCACAACTCAAAAGCATCAACTCTTCTTCAGTCTTCCTTGTTCCATTGTCCAGCTCTCACATGCACATGAGGTGATTGAAAGCACCATGCCTTGGGTTAGGTGCATCTTGGTCTTCAAAGAGACGTCTTTGTTCTTCAGCACTTTAAAGAGGTCTTTTGCAGCAAATTTGCACAGTGCAAGTATATCTGAATTTTTGACTGCTGCTTCCATTGATGTTGATTGTGGCACCAAGTAATATGAAATCTTTGACAACTTCAGTCTTCTCTCCATTTGTTGTAATGCTGCTTATTGGTCCAGTTGTGCGGATTTTCATTTTCTTTATGTTGAGGTGTAATCCATTCTGTAGACTGTAGTCTCTGATCTTCATCAGTAAGTGCTTCAAGTCATCTTCACTTTCAGCAAGCAAGATTGTGTTGTCTGTGTATTGTTAATAAGCCTTCCTCCAATCCTGGTGGCACCTTCTTCATATAGTCCAGCTTCTCGGATTATTTGCTCAGCATACAGATTGAACAAGTATGGTGAAAAGATACAACCCTGATGCCCTCCCTTCTTGATTTTAAACCATGCAGTATTCCCTTGTTCTGTTCAAACCACAGCCTCCTGGTCTATGTTCAGGTTCCTCATGAGCACAATTAAGTGTTGTGGAATCCCCATCCTTCTCACTGTTATTCATAATTTGTTATGATCCACACAGTCGAATGCTTTTGCACAGTCAGCAAAGCACAGGTAAACATCTTTCTGGTATTCTTTGTTTTCATACAAGATCCATCTGACATCAGCAATGATAGCCCTCGTTCCAGGTCCTCTTCTGAATCCAGCTTACATTTCTGGAAGTTCGTGGGGGGGAGCATTAAAGGCACCATCAGTGGACATATGATATGTGTTCTGGGTCTCTGCCTTGATAGTGTGACCCTTGGAGAACAACTTCACCGCTCTGGACTCAGGCTTCTCAGGAGCAACCTGGGATGCATTTTATGGGCACTTGCTTGTCCGGTTGAGGTGAGGATGGCAGATATCATAGGGTATACCCCCTAGAGTGTGAACGGTAAGGCAGTGCTCCTCTGTCCACTGGTGTGTCCTCAGGGTTTGGGGCAGAGCCAGTGCACATCAGCCCATATCTGCTGAAGGAATGCATGAATCCAGGAGTGTCTTCAATAAATGGCAGTTACTTCTGTTAGTTTGGTTGTCCTAATAAAACCGAAAGAAATCCACTGCCATAGGGTTGGTTCCAGTTGTTGCAGAGTAGAATTGCCCCCAGAGGGTTTCCAAGGCTGTCAGTCTTCATGGAAACCAACTGCCTCGAACTCCAACCTTTTGGTTAGCAGCTGAGTGGTTTAATCCCTGCGCCACAAGTATTGTGTATGATCAAAATAGAGAGTAATAGAATATGCTTGAGGGACAGCTGTAGGGTTGGAGGAGGGGACATCTAAGAGGCTTCACAGAGCTGGTGATGGTTGAGTTGGGTCAAAATACCAGAGTAAAAGAAGGGAGAAGGATATTTCAGGACAGGATGCCATTTTCCAATAAGGCAGTTGTTTGAAAGTGTGACTCACAAATGCGTTATTTTAGATGGGCAGAATTTAAATCAGACTGTTGCTATGATTGAGTTGTTCTAACATTTCAGATTTTGTACTAATTATGAACCTCACATTCAGGAAAAAAAAAATTCAATTAGCTGAATGCCTGGGGAATGGAATATTCTGATTAATGGAAAAACCCTTTAGGATTTAATTCTAACCAAAAGCTTGCTGAAATATATTAGCACATCTTCTTGCCTTCATAAGTTCAGTATGATGGTGGTTTCGTCTTACAGGGCTATAGGTACTGGATTTAAAAGGCTCATTCAGGGGGTACACAAGTGTTTTAAGAAACACACACCCACACACCATGTTCTTCACTTTTTTGGAGGGAGAGACAACAAACAGAATAATACTAAACATACAATTAGGCTAATTTTATATTTAAGAGCGAGGGAGGAGAAATAAATACCCTCTTACTGGCCGTGTGGTTTGTTAACTTCTATGAACTTAAGTTTCCAAGTCAGTATTATCCCTTTCATAGAAAGTTTTCCATAAATAGAAGCTAATTTTACTTTTTTTGCCTTCAGTTGTGCCTGGTCAATGTTCAAACCTACCAGCCATTCCATGGGTTAAAGATGGGTCAGTCTGCTTTCGTAAAGATGACAGTCTTGGAAACCCTATTGGTCAGTTCTGCCCTGTTCTATAGGGTCACTATGAATGAGAGTCAAGTTGATGGCAATGCATTTGGCTTTTTAGTTTACTTTCTTGCTCTCAAGGGTTCCTGCAGGTTCTGGCTGCCACAGTTTCTTCTAGAGGTTTCTTTGCTCTAATTTTGAACCTTCCAGCTTAACTCCCTGTGCCTGACACAGACCCTGCAGTGTGAGAACAGCTTCTGCAGCCAGCTCGCTTCGGGGCAGCACCACCCTTCCTCGGACAGCGTAGGTTCTGGTGATGCAGTCTATCAGGGCAGTCAGGATAGAAAGTCCTCCGGAGGCCAGGCATACTGACCCTGAGTACTGCAGAGGACAGCCTCGTGCAGAACTGCACCGAAGACCCCGGCTGCACCCTGTCCTAGTCTTCAAGGGCTGCCATAACAAAATACCACGAAGTGGGTGCCTTTAAAGAATGGAGATTCACAAAACAACAATGAGGTCTCATCTCACCCCAGACTAATAGCAAAGTTCAAAACATTAGAAAACAGCTAATGCTGGCAAGGGTGTGGAGAGGCTGGAACCCTTCTACACTGCTGGTGGGACTGTGAAATAGACAGCATGGAAAATGGTATGCCAATTCCTTCAAAAGCAGGAAATAGAAATACCATATGAGCCAGCAATCCCACTGCTAGGAGTATATCCCAGAGAAATAAGAGTTGTGACATGAACAGATATATGTACACCCATGTTCATCTCAGCACTATTCACAATAGCAAAAAGATGGAAACAACCCAAGTGCTTATCAAGGGAGGAATGGCTCAACAAACCATGGTCCATATGCACAATGGGATGCTATGCAACATTAAAGAACAGTGATGAATCTGCGAAACACCTTGGCATGGATGAACTTAGAGCCCATTATGCTGAGTGGAGTTAGTCAATCACAAAAGGACAAACACTATAGGAGACCACTATTGTCAACAGCCAGGACAAGGGTTTCACAGAAGAACTATTCTTAGATGGTTACCAGGGTGGGTGGGGATGGGAGGGTAAACCACTAGCTAGAGGGTGGTTGGCAGGGACGACAGTCAGGGAGGACACATACTAACTTGGGTGAAGGAACAAAAGAGTAAAGAATGGAGGTCATTTTCTCAGAATTCCGAAGGCTAGGACCATGCTCCTTGCCTGTGTGCTCTGGGAGAAGACGCTGTCTTGTCTTCCCAGCGCTGGTAGCCTGGGCACCTCTGGGCATTCCTTTGCTGTGTATGGGGTATTGCCACATGGCATCCTGCCCTGCATGACTGACTCAGTATCTCCTCTCACACTCGGAGGGGATCAGGCCCCAGTGGACTCCAGTAGGACCTTCTTAACATCTGCAAAGAAAACCCATGTCCCCAGAGAAGGTCACATTCACAGATAAGGGGTTAGGGCCAACATATCTCTGATCTTTTGAGGGGACAAAGCTACATCTGTTGTTGTTACTTACCATCAAGTCAATTCCAACTCACGGTGGCACCATGTTACATCCCTAACACTGTCTTAAAGTCTAAAGAGATGAGACAAGTTCAAAGTCACCTTGAAAACTAGCCCTAGAGTGTTAAGTTCATCTCTGATTTTCACACTTGCTTCTCAGGAGACTGCTTTTAGATGAAGGTCCGGGATCTTTGACCTTGATATGACTTGTACATTTCTTTCCCCAGGGCTTTGATTTCCACTGTAATCAGCCTCTGTCTTCAGTAACGATTCTAGAATGCACATTCGGTGATTGATCGCTGACGAGCCGTGTGCCCAGGCGATCGGCTTATTTGCTGACACGAATGAACCGAGGTGGCAGCGAGAGTGTGGAGGCGTCCAGGTGGAGCACGGGAGTGTATCGTCCTACCTCAGCACGTGCCCTGGGGGCGCTGATGGGCCTGTTGCTTTATTTATGAGTCCTGCCTGGAAGGCGTGGTCACCTGCTTCACTGAGCCGCCCAGAGAAGGGCACAGGAAGGGCACACGGCAGAGGAGAGGGCTCCCTTCAGCCCCTATGGGTGCTTGAGCGTGTGTGCCGGACCGGAAGGCTGCAAAGCTCTGGCCCACAGACCCCGTCGAGGAGAGCACCCGAGTTCCTCCGGTGCACGCGGCACGCCTGCGGAGAGGCAGACCCAGAGAGGAGACCCAGTGAGGAGATGGGGCGGGGCCGGGGTTCCTCCGGGGTTTGGGGGATCCTCTGTGCCTCTGGCCGCCCCTCCTACGCGCCAGGTGAAGCCTCAGGGCTCCGTGGGGCACCCTGGGCTGGTGGTGAAATTCGGGTTCAGAAAGGAGGCGCCCGGCAGTGTTGGAACTCATGCCCTCCCACCACAGCCCAGGCCGTCTCTACCCCGTCAGGTGCCTGTGCTTGTACCTGACCTCGGGGCAGCCCCTTCAGCGGAGGAGAGGCCGGGAACGGCCCGCCCCGCGGGCGCCACCTTCAGGGTCGGGAAAGAGGAGCAGATGTGAAGCCGCCTCAGGCCGCCAAGGACCAGCTGTAGCAGCGGCTGAGTCTGGGGTCCGAGGGCTGGGGTGGCCAGCGGGGACTCGGGACAGGGGCCACGCGAGCCCTGGAGGCTGGGGAAATGCCAAGGTGGACGGCGGTGGAGGGCACCCATTGTCCAAGGGGTCACATTAGCAAGGGCCCAGATATGTGGTGTGACATGGCACCCAAAGCGCCCACACTTTTATAACTGTCAGGTTCTGATAGCTGAGCATCGTCACTGACATTAAAACACAACAGTGACGAGAGCCGAGAGGAACCCGAGTTAGAGATCGCCTTTCGTTTTCGCTCGGTCTGCACGCACCGTGCCCTCATCGCAGTCAGGGCATTTCTGACTGACAAAGCCGCGGGGATTGAGACAGTGAGGGCAGCAACTTTGCTCTGAAGGGTCGTGTACCGGCTGTTCACAGAAGCACTCCTGCGCCTTGGTCACTGTTTCTGTGTTGGCTCTCTTCCACCCTTTGGCTTTCAACGTGCCTACATTGTTATGTTTGAAATGGGTTTCTTGTAGAAGCCTATGCTTGCATTATGTTTTTAATCTGCTCTGCTGATCTCTCTGTGGTTTATTTCGCCATTTTATATTTACTGTCATTATTGACGTTAGGGCTGTCTGTGTTTCTGTTTGTTCTCTGATTTTCCTTTCTCTGTGATCTTTTTCATGTCTTCCTGCGGGTGAGTCAGAGTTTTTACAATTTCATTCTCATTTCCTGATGGTGCTTTTCAGGGTGTCTACTGTATGGCTGTTTTAGTGGTTGCTGTATGGATTGCATTATGGATACATAAGTTACCATAGCCAACTGGTGTCCGATTTCCCACTTGAATCAAGTGTAGAGACTTAACCTCCTTTTATTCCCCCCGATTGTAGAATGTAACTGTCTTCAGTATTTTCCTCAAATAAATTTAGAGTCACATGTCAGTGTGTGCATTTTCACTTCAACCATCAAATGCGATTTAGAAAACCCATTTGTCATCATGGCTGAATAATGTCTCATTGCAGGCATATACATTTTGTCTGCCATCCATTGATGCGAATTTGGGCTGTTTCTTCCCTTTTGGCGATTGTAAGTAGAGCTGACAGCAATGAACCATGAATGCCTGCTTCTAGTTCTTTTGGGTCAACATCGAAATGTTGAATTGCTGGGTCACGTGGTAATTCTGAGCAAAATTTTAAGAATCCTAAAACTGCCTATGTAAATCAGTTCCCATTTCGTAATGCATATCTTGTCTGAAAGGACTTAAGGCACAAGAGTGAAATGAAGAGATCTGAATAAGGAGGCCCAGGCTGAAAGTCAGAGTAAAGATTTATCCTTGCATCAGAATGTGTTAGATCTTGCAATTTGCATATACAAAGAATTCAGCAACATTCACTGGCATTATAATCAGAGCAAGATCAAATTAAAAATGTAATAGAAGAAAATATGATAGCAGAAACTGTCATACATACATATATTATAAAGACTACACATAAATTAAACACAACTTAGTTGAACAACAACGGAAAGTATCAGTAATCATACATTTTAAAAAATAACATGGGCATGTCTCCAATGCTGAAATGCAGGTGTCAGGCTCATTTTGAAAAGTTTTTAAAAACACATAAAAATACCTCTTGAGACAGGGGTGTGCATTCGCCTGCTGGAGCACATGGAAACAAAGGGGGGGAGGGTCACACAGTGACCAGTAGGCGGTCGATCAGGACGGGCACTCCCAATCGCTGTTTGGCATTTTAATGCATGCAACGTCGGAAAACTGGAAAGCATTGGTATGTACAGTGGGCTTTCTCTGACAGAAGGGGAAAGAGTGTTAAACGTTCTGGGCTGTGTCCCCAGGGTACGCAGCTGCTCCTTGAGCCGCGTCAGCCTGGACAGAGGCTTGTGACTCCTGGCGGCCCCGGGTGTGCAGAGTAGAACTGCATACAGGGTCTCCACGGCTGGCATCTTCAGGAGTCAGATCTGGCTTACTTTTGAGTTGCCTCGGGGTGGGTCCAGCCAATCTCTCAGTCATCCAGCACTTGACTGTTCACACCACCCAGAGACTGCAAAGCTGCGCCTCCTGGGAGGGGAGAGGCTGCCTCAGACTAGGGAGGGAAGTTCTGCATCCACCAGGAAGAGGCTGCCAGTTTGTTTTCAGAATGGAAGGGACTTGGGAGGGGGCGGAACCGAGTGCCAGGACATCTGCAGCAAGCACCTGGGGATGGGGCGGACCACTGGGGACAGGGGAAACACACTGGGGGGGGGCACTTTCCTGAGGACACTCCTGAGAAGGTCCACCTTAAAGGGACTTCTTGATGCAAAGGTGCCAGTTGTCCATCAGAGGACCTAAACAGTTCTGGTTAAGGGCTCCTAAATAGGGACCGAAGTCCTCGCCCCTGGAATTTGCCATTGAACGCCCAAGTCAATGACTAGTGTCATATCTGGCTCTGGCTCTTGGCCTCGTGTGCAGAATGAAAGCTTATCTCCCTTCTTCCCCTCGAGTCAAAGAAAGGCTCCGGGGTTTGGGGTTTCAACAGTGAGAGCAAGTGGCATCCACAGCTGCCTTCCCCAGAGCACCCTCCATTTCCCCTTCCATGTAACACGAACTCAGGGTTCAGAGAGAAGAGGGGGACGCATCATGGCAGGCAGCCCCAGGGCGTGGCTGGTGGTGACCACAGTGTCACCAAGTGTGCTTGGCTGGGTACCTCCTCTCGCCCGCAGGTGGGGCTTGGTGGGAGCAGGGAGAAGTTTGCTTCACTGTGAAACGGCTAGTAAGATAACCAGCTCCCCTGGGGGGCATCTGTGTGCACTAGGACCAAAGAGGGGGTGAGCAGTGCAATAGGAGGGTGGACTCAATTATCACAGAGTATGTCAAGTAAGGCTTGTTTACTAGCGTTCTTAAAAAGCAAAAAAAAAAAAGTACCAAAACACTGCACGTGTTAAATGCTTTTAGTAAGTCAGACCAAATGTCCTTTTTTTTTTTGTCTTTTGTGTTGTGCTTATCTGCCAGGTACCTAATGGTCACAGAAATATAACTGATCCTTTTACACATTTTGGCACTCATTTTCCCCTATAAGCCAAGCCTGTCTGGCAGTGCATTCCACCTTGTCCAGTGTCAAAGGACTCAGTAGTATTTCCATCCAAAAATAAGTTAGCTTCAAGATTAAGGATTCTTCTCCCTCCCTCTCTCTTTTTTTTTTCTTTTCTTTTATTAAATATTGTGGGGTGGGACTTTAAAAATGGATTAAATCTAAATAGACTTTAAGGTTTTTTTTTCCCCATTACAAACAACCTTCACTTTTTACAAGAGATTTTTAAAAACCAAAATGCCTTTAGAAAAGTCGAGTGTAATTGCCTGTGGGCACCCTGTTGTGGAGCCCAAGTGTGTGTTCCTCGCTCCTGGGTGGAAGACGTCCCAGGGGATGTTTAGGGTAGGCCATGGTGTTGGTCGAGCACCTCGGCCTGGCTGAGGACAGCAGGGGCCCCTAGGTAGAAGTGAATGTGGTGGTTCGAGCCTCAGAGGTTCTCTAAGTCAACAGACAGAGGATGCTGTGGGAAGGAAGGCAGCGAGGATGCGGGCTTTGCTGTCCCCAAGGCCAAGGGCAAAGTGGGCCACCCGGCATAGAGGCATCTTTTCACCTTGCTGAGATTGGACAGACATGGACTTGAATAAGCACATTTTAAATATTTCTGTACAGATTGGGTTTTTTGGTTTATACAGTCACGCTACACTAATGGCATTTAGACCTGAACTCGGGCCGTTGAGTCTCTGTGATCTTTAAAATGTGAAAATAAACCATGGGCTGGTACTGGCAACTTCAGTTAATTCCCTGTTTACATGGATCTTCACCAACCACCAACGGTTTCCCGTTCAGACAAAGAGAAGAAATGCTCCTGCCCTGGGTTGTAAATCAGTGTAGGGGCACGACTGGCCTCGGAGCACTCAACTGTGTCCTCTGTACTGAACCTGCGTTTGGGATCGCACGGATGCACACTAGGCACATTAGGACTGCCAGCAAGTAGACGTGCCGGACGTGCGAAACTGAACGATACGAATCTAACAAAAAATGGGAATATTTACTGCTATGAGCAGAGATACAGACTTATGGGGAATTGTTTGACCTTAATACGTTATTCCAATTTTTAAAAAGGGTATTTACGATTTAATGGTTTTATAGCAAGTGGTCTGTAAAGCATAACAAAATATGTACAAAGAAATTAAGAAGAATATTAATATCAACTATGAAATAAATTAACATGTTTTTTACAAATGTACTGACCATTAAATTAAAAAAATATTTTAAGGCAGAATCTTCATTTGAAATTAGCATAATCAGAAAATATATCAATAAAATCTTGTACCACTTTGTAGCAGAATTCATACTGCTCCTGGAAAAGGGAAAAGAAAAACAACATTAAAATGACATTACAGAAATCGTTGATGAACTTACTCAGGAAACATGAACAAATCAGACTTGCAAAGTCTGATGATTACAACACTGTCTGTCCTTGTGCACATGAGCTTCTGCTACATGACACAGCTATGGAAGACGTGAGAATCTCCAAATAAACCTGTCTTTCTACCTAGAAAATGTCAATATTTACTTTCAATTTAGTTTAGCAAGGCACTCTGGTGGCACAGTGGTTGAAATCATTTGGCTGCTAATCAGAAGGTTGGTGGTTTGAACTCACCAGCTGCTTCTCTGGAGAAAGATGAGACAGTCTGTCTCCCTAAAGATTGACAGCCTTGGAGACCCTGGGGGCAGTTCCACTCTGTCCTCTAGGGGAGCTGTGAGTCCGAATGGACTTCACAGCAGTGGGTGTGGTTTGGGTTTTGCTTCTGTGAAGATGACAGCCTTGGAGACCCTGTGGGGCAGTTCTACTCTGTCCTCTAGGGGCGCTGTGGGTCAGAATGGACTCCACAGCAGTGGGTGTGGTTTGGGCCTTGCTTCTGTGAAGATTGACAGACTTGGAGACCCTGTGGGGCAGTTCCACTCTGTCCTCTAGGGCTGCTGTGGGTCGGAATGGACTCCAAGGCAGTGGGTGTGGTTTGGGCTTTGCTTCCGGGAAGACTGACGGCCTTGGAGAGACCCTGTGGGCAGTTCCACTCTGTCCTCTAGGGGCGCTGTGGGTCGGAATGGACTCCACAGCAGTGGGTGTGGTTTGGGCTTTGCTTCCTAAAGATTGACAGCCTTGGAGACCCTGTGGGCAGTTCCACTCTGTCCTCTAGGGGCGCTGTGGGTCGGAATGGACTCCAGGGCAGTGGGTGTGGTTTGGGCTTTGCTTCCTAAAGATTGACAGCCTTGGAGACCCTGTGGGCAGTTCTGCTCTGCCCCCAAGGTCTGCTGTGAGCAGGAATCCACTGGATGGCAGTGGTTTTGTCTTGGCTTTTAGCTTAGCACATTTTAGAACAGGCTGCATAAATGTCTTTAGGGGCCATATTTAAACTGGAAACAATTAGTTTTGAAGTGAAACAAACAGGAACAGCGGAGCACTACCTCTGTTGGATAAATCTGTATTGAAAATGTAATCTATTAAAGTTCAGTAAAATGACAACCTAGATTATTTTTAAGCCTAAATTTATTCTATAAAAAGGGTATTTAATAAAAATGTTACCAAGCTTCAAAAGAAGAAAAAAACAAACCCACTGCCATCCAGTTGATTCCAACTCAGAGTGACCCCCACTGGGTTTCCAAGGCTGTAAATCTTTACAGAAGTAGATTGTTTCATATTCCTGTCATGGAGCAGCTGGGGGTTTTGAACCACTGACCTTCTGGTTAGCAGCCAAATGCCTTACTCATTGCATCATACATTTTACAAGGCATTTGTTTACTAAAAACAGCACGTGTTGTCTAACTGTGGCCCTTCTAGCTACCTGGTGAGGAAGGTAGGAAGGACTAGAGGTGGGTAGTGGGTTAATGGGTGGTGCCTGTGGGCCCTCAGTGATGGGCACTCAACAGGGTGGAATGAAAGAGACGGAGGAAGTGAGACTTGCACATCTTTCCTGGAGAGCCTGCCTTGAGCGTTTGGAAAACCATGTGGCCATAAAGTTGGTGGGCAGAGGAAGGACTCCAAAGGCCTAAGTGACTACATGAGGCAGCTCACCTGTCTATCAGGTAAGTTGCAGACTGGTAATCAGCTTGGTCCAGTGGACGTGTGAGTGTGGGGCCCGCTGTGCAGGGTTTGGGAAGGAGAAGTCCCAGCACCCTGCCACTCTTCTTTCCAGCATATGAGTTCAGCCTCTAAGTACATGTCCTCTAAGTACATGTCAGACAAACGTCTAAGGAGTTCAGGTTGAAAGATTCAGCATACGAGTTCAGCCTGTCCTCTAAGTACATGTCGCACAAACGTCTAAAGCAGTTCAGGTTGAAAGATGCAGATAGACCTGCTTGGCCCTTCCACAGGTCTCAGTCTGACCATGCTGGGACAGAGCTTGGTGGGATGGTGGCACTGTTTGGCATTTTAATGCAAGCGCAAAGGAGCAATTCAAAGTCTGGGTATGTACGGTGGGCTTTCTTTGACCAAAGGGGAAGGCCTGCTAAACTTTCTGGGCTGCACAGAGAAGGGGCTGAGCCCCCAGTCACACACCTGCTCTTCAGTGGAACTGGGGCAGCCTGGGCAGAAGCTAGGTGTTCTTACTGGTGAGTCAGTTCCAACTCAGTGACCACGTGTGCACAGGAGAAGCGCTCCACACGGTTTTCGGAAGCAGGTCACCAGGCCTTACTTGGGTCCGGGTGGGTTCCAACTAGCAACCTTTCAGTCAGTGGTCAAGGCTTGGCCATTTGCACCACCCTAGGAGAGCTCAGGCGCACCGGAGACTGTGGTGCTGAGGTCATGCGGCAAGCTTTTGGGAGATCTGAGAGCACACTTTAGGGGTTGTCACTTCCAGCTGTGACTTTGACACCATGGAAACTGCGCTGTTTTATTGGTGGGTCAAGGGGCAGCCTGGACAACTGGATGGGAAGCCTCCCAGGTGAGGGTGTGCAGCCAGGGCTGGGAGGCCCACTCGGCCAAGCAGGCTTCTGGTTCCTGGGAGATAAACCAGCCCTCAGTCCAGGGGTTCTCTGGCCACCATGCTGGGATGGAAGGGTTGACGACTGTCTTTCCCGCCTTTCTGTGCAGTGTTAGTAGGGAAGATGCAGCAGGTAAGGAGGACACATCCTAAAATAAGAAGTCTTGGGGGATGTACAAGTATACTTGCTGGTTGAGAAGAAGCTGTTAGCAAGTGTGGCGAGGAGGTATGTCATCTAAAAACCAGAAAAAGAATGCATTTCTAGCTCATAGAAAGAGCATATGGGCAGTGGTGCATTACCTGGGTTCTTTCAACCTCTGGAGCGAATCTTGAGATTTGAGTGAGACCAGCCAAGGAAAGCAGCCAGATGGAGCAGTGTGACACAATGACAAGTAGTAGGATCTTCACTGCTAGTGCTGCTTTTGTGTGTTGTAACAGTACACTTTTTAAGGCACACTGGGGTCCTGTAAGATCGTCCACATTGTTCTGAAGAGTGTATCTATCTAGTGTAGTTGTTCATCTTGTAGGCCTGTCTATTGTTTGGCTGGAAATCCAGGGCAGTGAGTTCAATTCCAAGCCTGAAGGGTGACTAGGGGCCATAGTCTTAGGGGTTTCACCAGTCTCTCTCAGACCAGTAAGCCTGTTTTTTTTTATGATTTTGAGTTTTGTTCCACATTTTTCTTCCACTCTATCCAAGATCTCTAATTTTGATCCTTTTCTTGAGTGGTTGGCAGTTGATAGCTGGGCACCATCTAGTTCTTCTGGTCTCAAGGTCGTGTAGGCTGAGGTTCGCATGGTCCACTAGTCTCTTGCACTACCTGTTTCCATGCATCTTTGATTTTCTTCACTCTTCTTTCCTCCAGATGAGGAGAGACCACTTGTTGCATCTTAGATGGCTGCTCGCAAGCCTTCAAGACCACAGTCACTACTCACCAAAGCAGGACGTGGAACAATGTTTTTGTGTAGTGTGTTATGCCAATTGAGCTTGGTCTTGCCTATGACCATGGTCCGTAGCCCATGGGCCCAGAGACTCACTCCCTCAAGGTGTTTGGCAATGGCTAAGAAGTTATCATAACTTCGGCCCCTTGTTGTTGTTGTTATATGCCACAGAGTTGGCCCTGACTTACAGCAACCCCTCCTTGGGTTTCTGAGGCGGTATCACTATGGAAGTAGATTGCCCAACCTTCCTTCCGAGGAGTGGCTGGTGGGTTTGAACCCCCAGCCTTCTGGTTAGCAGTCAAATGCCTTAGGCACTAGCTCTATTGTATATATGGACATTCTAATAGCACATAAAATTCATATGTAAAAATATTGTCTGCCAAAGTTATATATGGTCATGGATATATTCCCTTTTGCTTACCCATACCTGATTTGCCTGTCTACCTATGTATCCACCTGGAGATTAATGTTTGTTATTACTGATAATGCAGTGTTGTGTATGTAAAAGTATTTACCTTTGTTGTCTGTACCTTTAAGAACAATCAACCCCGGGAGGTCAGAAGGGTAACATTTGCACTGGGAGGAAGCTCAGAGGGCAGGAATGCAGAGGAAAGAAGGACTCAGGGAAAAGGTAACCAAGGGAGAAACTGGGAGGAGAGCTGTTACTCTGTAGGGACTTCAGTGTCAGGAAACAACATGCGCATGAATTGGTAAGTGGAAAACAAATGTGCTCCATGAAGTTTTACCCAACTCACAAGAAAAAGTTGAAGAAAAGCTCATTTGCATTGACTGAGAAGTTGCTTTCCGCAGTGTCTCCATCCCAGAGGCTCAGTAACTGAGTCAGAGAGGAGCACTCCCTCCTCCCGCCCAGAGAGCAGAGCTCAGCCAGAACCCGTGGAGGGAAGGGGGCTGCACAGCTTCATGTACAAAGTCCCCATTAGCTCTCTTCCTGGGGAGTCTTCCCTCCCCTCTCCCGTACACTTGAGTTTCTTTCATGAAACATACATCAAAAAGAACATACAACAATTCCCAGCTCTTCTGGAAACATGCTCGTCGTGCAGTGTCTTACCAGGGTCTGCACCATGTGTGGCCGCTGAAGCCGTAAGCTCTTCACAGCTTGAAACACGTCTAGGAGTCCCTCAGCCTTCACTCGTTCCAGAATGTTGCTGAGTGCGATGAAGGTACCTGTTCGCCCAGCGCCAGCACTGTGGGGGAAACGCAGGTAACGGCACTCGAAGGTGGGGAAGGGAAACACCCCTGCACATCAACACGGACGCAACAGCCACCAAAGTCGACTGGAGCTGCCTGACCGTCTAAGCGTGATGTGACATCTGAGAAAGATTAAACAGAATCCCTGAACCACCAACCTAGCTAACAACAGATGGGTGTTTCATGAATCGGATCAGGACAGTTACATGTGTTTAAGCTACTGTGTGGTCACTGCCCCGGTGGAGACAAGTGATTCTCAAAGTGGTTCCCTGGACCGACAGCATCAGCGTCACCTAGAAACCCATTAGACATGTAAGCCCTGCCAGTGCAGCTCTTGTTGATGTACTAGCCAACTCCAACCCCTGGTGACCCCATGTGACAGGGCACAACTTCCCCAAAAGGTCTCCTCATCTATAATCTTCGCAGGAGCGGGTCACCAGGTCTCTCTACTTTGGAGCCACTAGGTGGGTTCAAACTGCCAACCTTTCGGTTAGTGTCCAGATACCTAATCACTGCGTCACCAAGGCTCCTGGGCAGAGGTCTTGGGTGGGGGTATCCTGGGCACCAACGCACCCTGCTGTTCTAGGAACGCCCTGCCGAAAGGAGTGGTGGGAAGGGCAGGGTTTAGGGGATGTTAAGACAGAGGGTGCCATTGTCAGGAATAACAGGGCAAGGGAAGCTCTCTGCCATCAACTGAGTCAACTGCATTTGAGAAGGTCATTTTTGTGACAAACTGGATTAAGCTCCCCACCCTGCTGGGGGCCCCCAGTGAACTGGCCAGGAGGGGTTGTTGGTCTCCTACAGACGCCCTCTAGGTCCATGGCTGCCTGAACCCTTGCTTGACCTCTGGCCTTAAGATCCCAGTGCTGCTGCACTGAGCTGCCCCTTGTTGCCTCCCACAGTGGGACTGCTTGGGGACAGGGTGCAAATCTGGTCCGTCCTTGCATCCCCAGTGTCACGATTGGGGTTTGTGGAAGCAGAGCAAGAAGAAACCCATTTGGACTGTATCCACAAGAGGTCTCAGGGCACCAAGCGGGACTGAAGACAGGGCATGTGCCCCACCTATGGGCCAAGCCGGGTGTGCACCTGGAGGGTCCCAGACAAGGGAGGGGTCCAAACCCCCCAAGGACAGCCCCAATGGCCACAGGGGTGTGGTGGGCTCAATCCTGGCAGATAGCACCACCCAGCGCAAATGCATCTGTGGTCCTGCCTGTGGCTCCGACTCAGGCCGGCACAGAGGCCGAGCCTCCCTGTGGGGGAGGGGAGAGTGGCAGGGGCTCACCTGCAGTGCACGGTGATGGGGTGGTTGCCTGTCTGCTGCTGCTGCTTCTGGACAGCTGCAATGAGCTCGATCATGCCCTTGCCCTCTGCAGGGATGCCCACCTCGGGCCAGCCGTGGAAGTGGAACTGACGCACCACGCGGCTCTGCTCCTCCTGCCGGGCCAGCGGCTGTGGGAGAGCGGGCGTCCCAGCACCTCACTGCGGGCCCAGCCACCGCAGCCCTGCCCACCGCAGCCCTGTCCACCGCAGCCCTGCCCACCACAGCCCTGCCCACCGCAGCCCTGTCCACCATTCTCCCAACTCCAGCTGTGTCCTCACCCGCTCGTCCAAGGCCCTGGGCAGGCTGGCTTCGGCTGTGCTCACCCTGAATGCCTCCTCCTAACTGGGGACCAGGACAGCAGAGGGCCTGGCTGCTCATCTATGGGGTCCATGGTGTTGGCTGAGAGGAGGGGCAGGCTCCGCCTTTAGGGAGCCAGGACCTCTGCTACGTCAGAGGCTCAGGGCGAGCGGTCAGCGAGCCAGCAGCCCTGGACGGCTCTGCTATTGGTGTGGGGAGAGTGGATCCCGGTGCTGGGCTCTGGGGTACAGGCAGGCCCCGGCTTATGGATGTCTGACTTCAGGGCCACTCGTACTTGCCCTTTAATATTACGCTTCACTTTGAAATGACCAGACTAACGCCTTGTCTCCACAGATGCCTCATCACAATCGCCTCACTTGCTGCCTGTGCAGCTTTTAAATCATTGACAAGGCTTCTAGCTTTTTCTTGCACTAAACCGAAAGACAAAAACAAACTCACTGACATCCAGTCAATTCCGACTCATAGTGACCCCCATTGGGTATCCAAGGTGGTATATCTTTACGGAAGTAGATTGCCCAGTCTTCCTTCTGCAGGCTGGCTGGTGGGTTTGAACTGCCAACCTTCTGGTTAGCAGTCAAATGCCTTAGGCACTACGCCACCAGAGTTCCTCCTTCTTACACTAAGGAAGGGGTAAATGAGAACTGTGTGCACCTGTTCTACTTTATCACAAATTCAACTTATAGGCACAGTTAGGAATGGATCTCATTTGTACCCCAGGGACTGCCTGTCCTGTCCTGGCGCTTGGATGATGTCAGGACCAGAGGAGAAGGTACACATCGGGGCTCTGAGGAGGTCCCCCAGAGGGGGCCTGGCAGGGTCCCTGTGCTCCCTCCACCCCCGTATTCCCCATTCCCAGCTGACTGCATTTCTCCTAGTGGGCAGTGGGGACAGGGAATGTGCACCTCTCAGAGTAGCCCCTCTGCCCATCACCCCAGCAAGGAGCTGGGTGACCATGGGGGTCTGGTCACTACTTTTTTTGGGACGTGCCACTTGGCGGCTCGGTTGATGAACACACCGACCATCCATAATGAACTGGGACTCGGGAGAGGCGGAAAGGACACAGCAGGTGTGGGACCACATTTGGTCTGAGGCCCAGCGGAGCCCTGTGACAGCTGCAGCTGGCCCCATTGCAAGAGTACAAAGAACCCTGGCAACATTACCTGGCTGACGGTGACCAGGAAGTCTCGCACGCTGATGGCCTCAGACAGGGTGTCACTCTTGATCTCAATGGTTATTTCGCCATGAGTAACGGAGCCCTCTGCCGGCCAGTATTGGTAGCATTTGTCCTTGGGAGGGAAAATACAATTTTAAGTCTTGGAGTGTATGTAACCTGCTGTTAGGGACTTTGATCTTATGATACAGAACTGCTCTCAGACCATTTAACTATTTCATCTGAGCAAGAAAATAACATGAGGACGGATACGACAGTAGTCATGCCTGTGGATTAAGGGGACAGAATCGAAGTCCCAAAAGTGACAGATATGTGTCCACGAGACTTCAGCACATGCAGTGTGTCATGTCAGAAAGGGGACATTTTCCAATACATGGAGCTGCATGGGGAGGAAGGAGTGGAATCTGTAACTCATACCCTACTGGGGTCCACATGAATGTCCCCGACTCTCCTGGAGGTAGACGGTGCCCACTGCACTACCATGGGTGGCAGCCTTGCCCCTCAGTGAAAATTAGCCCACACAGGCTGAGTTAAGGTCACAAACAAAGCTGGTAAATCCTTAGATACAGGAAGGATTTCACTTTGCGTTACAGAGGCGCTTACTAAACTGCATGGAAGTAGAGCTGACCATGAAACAAAAGATCAAAGCCTTGACTGCATTCAAATTAACTTCTTTTCTTCAAATGACATCATAAAAAGAGTGGAAAGACAGGCTAGACATCGGGATGAGATATTTGCAACACAGCAAATTGACAAAGGAGCTGTCGTGAGACTACGTAAAGAACACCTGTACATCAACAGGAAAAAGAATAAGAAGGGGTGAAAGGCACGGACATGGTTTGCACAAGAAGAAACATGTCCTCCACGAACACTAGAATGATGCTTGGCCTCACAGCAATCAGACAGAGCCACCAAGAGATGCCACTCACACTCCTCAACCTGCAAGACTGAGGAAGCCGGGCAACACAGCGTCCACAGCAGAACACGTGCAGATAGTGGTGAGTCCACAGCTGAACGGTGTCCCTGGCACATGCTGGTGGCAGTGACAATGATTATGGCCTCTCTGGAAAGCCAGTAGGCACTGTCCCGCACACTCAAACTCTCACCTCGTCTCCGAGGGGGCCGTTGGTCCCCTGGGCATATACTAACTTTACAGTGGCAGGAGGCATGTACAGGAATGCACAGATAGCTACAACATGGAGACAACCCGATGCCATGACAAGAGAAGGGAGAGATGAGCAAACTGTGGCTTGTTCAGCAGCATGCCACACAGTGAGAATGAGGGACCACAGCTCTGGGCATCGGAATAGAAATCTCAGAAGTGTGATCCTGAGTGGAAAAAGTGAGCCCCGTAAGAGTACATATTGTGATGATGCCTTTCCTATAAGTTCAAAACAAGCAAAACCAAGGAATATTTCCTTTGATCACACACACACACACACACACACACACACACACTTATATATACAAGACAACAGAAATTAAGAAAAGGCAAAGAACACATCTTTTCAGGTGGCTACAATAAAGAAGGCAGATAAAAAGTAGTGTTGGCCAAGCTGTGGGGGAAAATGGAGCCCTCTCATGAGGCTGGTGGGAAGGGAGGCTGATGCAGCCACTACAGAAAACCTCTCAGCAGTTCCTCAAAACATCCAACCCAGAGGTAACTATGACCCAGCTTCTCCACTCCTAGGTGTAGACTCGAGAGAGATGAAAACATACACAAAACCTTGTCTGTGTGAATATTTATAGCATTATTCATAACAGCTAAAAAGTAGAAGTAACTCAAATGTCCTTCAACTGATGACAAGAGTGAGCAAACCGTGGTGTAGCCATACAAAGGAGTCTTACGTGACAATACAAAGGAATGCCTGCTGATACGTGCTATGACGTGGATGAACCTCTGGAAGAAGCGGACAAGCCCACTGTCTACTGCAAGATTCCATTTCTATGACACATCAGACGAGGCCATTTCCCAGAGGCAGAGAGGAGACCACTGGTGGCCTAGGGCTGGGGGCTGGGGGCGGCAGAGTGGGGAGTGACTTAGAGAGGTTTCTCTTGGGTGATGAAAATATTCGGACATCAGACCTTGTTGAAGTTTGCACCAACTGTGAATGGACTGGAAACCACTGACTCGGACGGTTTATAGGAGTGAATGGAACAATGTGGGAGTTAGATCTCAATAAAGCTGTATTATTATTATTATTATATTAAAGCAAATAAACCAAAACCAAACCCAGCACAGTGGTTGCGTCTTGGGGGAACCTAGACAGACAGATGTGTGTTATTGGTAAAGGTTTGGTTTTTCACTGGGTGGTGGTTTCACGAATGTTTATGTTATTAAATAAATAAACTCATGAGCGCATGGTGGTCACTGGGGAAAGGGAACCATCGTGCTCACTCAGCTGGGCCAGGGCAATACTAATTGAGCACACAAATCAACACCATGAAAAAAATCTTTGTCTTGAAAAAACGGTGTGTGGGGGGGAGAAAAATATTTTACTTAGTAGGTTGTAATCTTGGCAAATACAAAATGGCAGCATTTCCAAAAACCAAACCCAACCCACTGCCACTGAGTAGAGCCTGACTCACAGCGCCCCTAGAGGACAGAGTGGAACTGCCCCAGAGGGTCTCCAAGGCTGTCAATCTTGACAGAAGCAGACCACCTCATCTTAGTTCCACTAGCAGCTGGTGGGTTCCAACCAACAACTTTTTTGTTAGCTGCTGACCGTTTAACAACTGCACTACCAGGGCAAGGCAGGTTAAACAAAATGTAAGTCACGCACAGATGCCAATGGGAAGTTAAGCCTAACAACAGCAGAATTGTGGGAGGAAGACTTTCTTGTCCCCAAACTCTGTCCCTCCTGAGAAGCCCCTCCCTGGAGCCCTGGTTCTCTCTCTCTCTCTCTCACACACACACACACACACACACATACACACACACACACGATCAGGACTGGCAGTGGGGACACTTTTCACCGACAGCCCTGTGTAAGTTGACGCCCCCGGAGGCTGGGCTGGGCAGTGCCCCGACCTGCTCGCGCTCCTGGACCTCGGTGAGCATCACGATGGTGTGGCATTTCCACTCCCAGATCATCCTCCAGAAGTCCTCCACCGTGTGTGCCAGCGGCCCCTGGGTGGCGATGAAATAGTCCTTCTGTCGGTAGCCCTGCAAACAGAGGAGTCGAGGTCATGGCGGCTGGTTCTGCTCCAGGGCCTTGGTGTGTAGCAGAGTTTGAGGCTGATGAGGGAGAATCTTCTCGAGGCTTCCAAGGCGGAGGCCAGCACCAGCTGGACACATGCTGGCTTTCGCATGTCCAAGACGCCAGCAAAGTCCTATCGGATGTGAAGTGTCTGCACCTGCACGCCTGTGTGGACGCCACCAGCACCCAAGGCTGCACCCCAGTGCCAAGGTCACCCACCCCACGCCCTCCCCCCACCCACACCCCAGCACTGAGGTCATCTCAGATGGGTTCTCTGAGCTACCAGGCACCTACAGCTGCCTGAGGAAAAGCACCTGGTGGCTCTCAATCTCATTTGTTCCTACGTCACACATCGTGGTGTGGAGCAAGGAGCCCTGGGAATTTGAGGAAGTAGGTCCAAATCCCAGCTTCTCCACAAGGCCCACATGACCTTTGGCATGGTTTCCTCATCTGCAAAACTGAAATAACGGCACGTCCTTGTCTGCAAAGCCCTGTCCTGGCCGCACATCTGCTGACCCCACCGGGGCAGGAAGACAGCCGGTGCCTGGGGTCCTGAACAGGCTCACTGCACTGTCTGCCTGGTGAGTGTGATCCAAATGACCCCGGAGCCAGGGTGCCAAAGACCCGATGTGTAACCGCTGCCCACACATGTGCACAAGAGAGTCAGCTGTTAGTGCCTGCAGGACTTTCTATCAACAGCAGAATGAAAAATCAGCAGCTTACGACTCCTCAATTTCCCAGGTTCACTATGCTTTGTTTGCGGGTTTGTTTGTTAAGTGAGGAATTCTGCTAATAAAATGGTTTGCATTTCTGGAGGCGTGTCATCTCCTCCTGGCTGTGAAATGAGGTTGCCCTGAGTCTGTGTGACTGTACGAAGGGGGAGCACGCGTCTTGACCCAGCGCCCCCCGGACCACCACACTCACGTCTATAAAGGATGCGTTGATGTAGTCGGTGTACTCCTGACCCCGTTTCATGGAAAGGATCACGCGATTGAAGTCATCTGCAACAGAGTGGTTTGTTTGGTCAGCATTGCCTGGCACACCTACCCCACAAGCTTCCCAAATTCCAACTGTTGATAAAATCGCTAAGAACAAGGCAACTTCTGAACGTCCACTTTACAATGTCGCTTAATTAGACGGCGCAGGGAAGTTCTGCTACAGAGTGAGGGTTTGAGGGGCGTCCAGCTGCCTCTATTTTTCACGAGTTAATGGGATGCAGACCAGTTTAGATGCGTTAAAATTACTGCATTTGAGGAATTAAAAAGAGTGTGTCTAGGCAGCCAACCTGATGAAGTGGTGAGGACGTTGCAGCCCCGAGAATTAAGTGTCTGGGGCCTGGGGGCGTTGCCCAGCCCCATCCACTCCCCACGTCCCTGCAGCAGCACTGCGGCCACTGGGGCTGTGACCCAGCGCACAGCCGTTACCGTCGTGGGTTGCGCCGTGCCAGGCCACAGGGCGTGCACCGGCTGGTTCTGGAAGTAGACTGTGAAGCCTTTCGTTCTAGCCTGTCTTAGTCCGGAACCTGCTCAGCATCATGGCAACACCCAAGCCTCCACTGAGTGACAGCTGGTGGCCGTGAGTCAGGCACCTTGGCCAGGAATTGAACCCAGGGTCTCCTGCACAGAGGATGGACATTCCACCTCGGAACACCACTGGCCCACTGTGACCTCTCAGATAGGCCTGTGTGCAGCTGCTTTAAGATGGCGTGTGTGTCTGGAGAGGTGACTCTGGAAGACAGTGTCTGGACACGTCCTCTCCCCCAGCATCGTACCTGCAGCTCCCCTCGGCACCTTGCTCTCTGTGGAATCTGCCACTTCGCTGAGGCTCTGGGTTTGCCTTCCTTTGTCACTGGGATGACCTGGCTCCCCAGCCTGCCCCTCATACCTGCCTCCCTCCCAGCCTGTCCTTCGGCTGCCCTGTGGCCCTGCCGGCCCCACCTCGCCCAGGACCACAGCTGCAGGCTAGTGTCCCGACTCCATCCTGTGGACACTTCCATCTCCTTCCTCCCAAAGGTCCAAGGCTTTCCCTGTCCATGTGGGGCTGATGGTGCGGCCTCCCAGGGTGGAGGGAGGAGGGCCCGAGTTGTGCAGTGAGCAGGAACCATGTCAGGCCTGAAGCAAAGAAGTGCAGCCCCTCCCGCTCCCACCTCTAAGCCCTGTCAGCAGCTGGACACCTGAGGACAGTCTGGGCCCTCCGTGCTTTCAGGTGAGTCTTGTCTGCCCAACACCTTCACGGTGCCCAGGAGCCCTGAGCCCGGCCTGTGGGTGCTGGTGGCCGAGCCTGAGCTCGGGTCCATAGTGTCTCAAGGGTTGAGGATGCCAGGCCAGCCCTGTGACAGCCCTGCTACTGCCCTGCGTGAGGTCATCTTAAGTCACGGTCATCTAGTCACGGCCGTCCCCGCAGCTGCCTTACACGGGATGATCTGGATGACCCTGGCCTTCTTCATGTTGGCCGGCAGGTTGCCTGTCCTCATGTTCTCTTTCATGATCCGGACATTCGTCAGCTTCTGCAGTTAGAGGAACAGCACACGGTTACATCCGCAACATTCCTGAGTGAATCACTCAGTCATGTGACAGCACTGCTGGACGGGTACCCCTGAATAGGAGGTACCCATCCCCCTCTCCAGCCAGGCCTGGGTCTTGGAAATGACATGCTCCCTGCTGGCACTCCTAAGCACACAGGCACCCCCTCCTCCTCCCCTGCATTTTCTGGGTCACACAAAAAGGGACGAGGTTGACCCTGGCTTCACTTGCCCAATCACCCGTTTTCCCTGTTTCCTGTGCAGCCTGTCCCCCGGCCACCCCAGAGGGGACCCGCTGGTACCCACCCGGAACTCGTCCTCCAGCCCCAGCTTGTCGAAGTGGCTGCTGGAGCCATGCAGGCCCTGCAGGTGCTTTTCCAGAGAGGACACATCGAGCTCTGTGTCCCCATAGAGGTAGTACTCAAGTAAGGCTTGGTAGATGAACGTGTACTGCATCTGTGGGAGCAACAGAGAAGCAGTGCCCTCACCTCTGCCCGGCCACCCCGCCGCTCAGAGCTCAACAGCAGAGGGGCCAAGGGAAGGAGGTCTGGGGGCACCCGTCAGGTCAGCGGCCATGTCTAAAGGCTACTCCAGCCCATTGGTAAAGATGGTAAATGACAGCTGACGTTTGCTGAGGCTATCTCCCTGCCGGGCACCATTTGAGGGGATAGTGGAATCACCCCCATTTAGCAGGGGGACTCCCAGCACAGGGTGTGGGGAGTTACTGGAGTTCCCAGGGGAAAGAGGTACCCAGCGAGCAGTGGGTGCTGTGAGCCAGGTGTGCTCTGTGATGGGGCAGAGTGGCAGCAGGCTGTGAGTCACCAACGGTGAGCCTACGTCCATGGGGTGCAGAGCACATGGGGTGCCTGAGGCCCGTGTACTTGCTTGTGGGGCTCCAGCACAGAGAAGGGGTTGGCCCAGAGGGGACTCACATCCGTTTGGACCATCTGAGGACGCTGGTTGCGGATTCTTGACACAAATTCGAAGACGTCAACCTTCTGCTCGGCACACATCATGTCGACCATGGCGTCGATCACAATAAAGGTGCCCGTCCGGCCCACACCCGCACTTGGGGGAGGAAGGGAGACACCAGTATCAGGAATCACAGCCCCACATGACCAATGGGCCTTGGCAGAGGCCTGAGGGCCAGGACAGAGGTTGCGCCCTAAAACCAGGCAGCTCCACGCAATTGCCTTTGCGTGACAAAGGGCAAGTCTAGTGTGTGGCCACCAGGGGGCGCTGCAGTCGAGGCCTCGAATTGTCTCAGTAAGTAGAAAAAGCATCCGTGACAAGCTCTGTAGCAGCCGTGCATGGGTGTCTGAGTCATTTTTCCCTCTTACCAGATGCTGCCTTCTTGATATCACTTGTGTAAATGGAATTTGTTTTTCTCAATGTCACACTTGACATGGGTTTTCCTCTGGTGGCGTAGTGGAAAGCATTTGGCTGGTAACCAAAAGGTTGGCAGTTTGAACCCACCAGCTGCTCTGTGGGAGGAGGATGAGGCAATCTGCTTCCATAAAGATAACAGCCTTGGAAACTCTGCGGGGCAGTTCCACCCCATCCTCTACGGGCCCTGTGAGTCAGAATTGACTGCACAGCAGTGGGTATGGTTTGGGCTTTGCTTCCGTGAAGTTAACAGCCTTGGAAACCCTCTGGGGGCAGTTTCACTCTGTCCTCTAGGGGTGCTATGAGTCGGAATTGACTTGACCACAGTGGGTTGGTTCAGCACATGGGTTGCCACAGGTTGAAATCGACTTCATGGATTTCCACAGGCAAGGACCGCTTTGGCTGGGCCTGCCACCCATAAGCCCTGCAGGCTGCAAGGGAGGCACCAGTCCACTCAGCCCATCTCTGCCCAGGCCCTTGGCCTCTCTCAGATCCTGGCATGCCCTCCTTGGCTGGCTGGTGCCAGCTGGTCCTCAAGGCCTCTGGGAACTGCCCCTTCCCTCGGAGCTCCTGCCATTCCCACATCTGGGTGTCCTTGTCCTCCCAGTGCACCCCCACCACGCACCTGGACACATGCCCAGCACTGCCCAGTCATGCTGGCCCTATGTCTGCTGTGCTGCAGGCAGGTGGGCGAGTGAGTCCTTGTTCATGGTTGTCGCCCTAACCCCCAGTGCATCATCCTGCCGGCCCCACACTGTCTTGTCTGATGAAGAGTTGCAGGACGAGGCAGGTGAGCTGTTCTCATCCTCGGTCATCGCTCCCCATGATGGGACACACAGGTGGCACCCAGTCAACGTTTGTGAATGAAGCGCCCGGTCCCCCACGTGTCGGGAGTCTTCAGACACAGCAGCGGTTGCGTGGATGACTTGGCACCTCGCGTGTCAGCGGGGAACTGGGCCCCATGGGGTTTTCAGTGGCTGATTTCTTGAGCAGCCCGCCAGGCCTCTCTCCTGAGGCTCCTCCGGGTGGCCTAGGACCTCTCCCCTTCCAGTCAGCAGGTGAGTGCGTTCACCGTCTACCCTCCATCTTGCAGTGCGGGAAGCTTTGAGCGGGCAGGACACCAGGGCATCCCAACTGCCAGCCTCCTCAGCCCTGCCTCCACAGCAACAGGACAGCACAGGGGCCCCTGGAGGAGTGGGCCAGGTCTTCCTGTTCTGTCTGGGGTCCACCAAGAGGACAGCAAGTCACAAAGGAACCTACTCGTCTTGGTCTTAAAGCACAAAACACATGAGCCGGTCAAGCAGCCGGAGCCCGAGGCCTTTCCATGCACGCGCTTCCACAGCAGAAGCTCTTGGATACGGGCCTGAGGGAGAGGTGTGCACAGTCTCTGCAGATGGGGATGGCCCAGTGATAAAACAAGAACAAGAACAGCCAGTGGACACAGCACAGGGAGAGCTAAGTGGAAAAAGCTCACAGCCTGTGGGATAAGCCATCATGGTGGCGTGGTGGTGGTCCTGGTGGCAGTTGCCATGGTAACCACGGTGGCCATGGTGGTCACGCACTGGTGATAGGAGGATAGGAGCCACAGTGGTGGCGGCAGTACACGGCTGTGTGGTATTTTTTACCTTGTAAGCTCCAACCCGGGCATGGATCACAGTTATCACTGAGAAGAACCAGAGCTGGGAGAGGTGGAGTGCTGCCCAAGATGACAGGGCTGGCTGGACAGCCCCACTTTGGGGGTCTGCTCTTGCCTTGGGCACTGTTCAGGGGACACTCAGAGCCTCAGTGAGCTTTCCTGTGAAGACTCAGGGCTTCTGTTGAGCATGGTTTCACTCTGTGTCCCCAGAAGAATCTGGGGTCTCTGAGGGAAGACGAAGCCATGAGGACCAGGCAAGCCCCGTGCCACCACCAGCCTGGGCCTCTCAGCTTTGTCTCTTCTCACGCGGAGGTCCCCTCAGATGGCAGGGTTTGTACAGGGTTTGCTGACCGTGGAGTGAGCCGATGGCTGAACCCCGTCTACCTCACACCTCTGTCCCCTTCTGGGTCCCCCAAACTGCCCTTGGTGCACATGTGCCCGGGTGGGTGATGCTCCTGTGGCCCTGCCTGCACTTCCCCCCGGCCCCCTGACACAGCCCACTGGTCATTATTCCTCAGAAGATGGTGGCCTGGCCCACATACCTGCAGTGGACCACGATGGGCCCGGCGTGTGTGGGGTTGAGTGTCCTCACTTTCTTCAGGAACTTGAGCATCCCGATGGGGGTGAAGGGCACTCCGAAGTCAGGCCAGCTGGTGAAGTGCAGCTGGGAGACGAGCCGCGGGGCTTTGCAACTGTCGGGGAGCTGAGGGGGATGGGGCCGTGAGGGGACGCCGGCCTCAGGCCCTCCCCCCTCCCCCCAACATCTGGTCTGATGAAGCTCAGATGGCTCCCATCCCCCAGGCTGGGATAGCCACGGAGTCTGTGGGGGTGGGAGGGCCTCTGTGGCTGCTCACAGGGACAGCAGAGCAGGGCCAGCGGCTGCCTGTCACACCAAGCCAGGCAGCCTTGAGCAGCGGACACCACTCCCACAGGTGGCCAAAGGCTCACAGGCCACTGGTGGGCAGGCAGCATGCCCGTCACCTGGGATGGGTCCTTATGCCTGCAGCCCCATACCACTACTGACAGCACCTCCTCTCACGTGCAAATGTGTCTTAATGTTGGAAGAAGAGGTGATGTGGTTGGCCTTCTCACAGAGATCACGGCCTGGCTTGGAGCTTTTGCCTTGTGCTGCCCAGCATCTAGGAGTTCGGTTATCCCCTGTCCCAGCCCCAGGGACTATAGGCCCTGTATCTGGCAGTGTGTGTACATGTGTGCATGCACATACATGTGTGTGGCACAGCATGTGCACATGTGTGTACATGTATATAGGACAGTGCATGTGCACATGTGTGTACATGTGTGTGCAACTGGCAGGACATGTACATGTGTGTGCTCCTGTCCCCCAGGCTGGGATAGCCCGGAGCCTGTGAGGGTGGGAGGGCCTCTGTGGCATGGCAGGGCATGTGCACGTGTGTGCACAGGGCAGTGTGTGCAACGTGTGTACATGTGTGTGTGACAGGGCATGTATGTGTGTGGCATGGCATGTGCACGTGTGTGTGTACGCACATGTGTGTGGCAGTGCATATGCACGTGTGCATGCATGTGTGGCAGTGCACGAGCACATGTGTGGCAGTGCATGTGCTTGTGTGTCTGTGGCATGTGTGTGCAGTGCATGTGCACATGTGTGTACACAGGTGGGGGGGGCGGGCAATGTAAGACTAAGCTCATCCTTCTCCACTCAGCACTGGTTTCCAGGGACCAGAGATGTGCTCTGTGGCCTGGCTGTGTGACCCCCGTGACTCCTGATAAAACTACCATCTGGTTTTTCATTCGTTTAAACCTGCATCTCCTCTGCCTTGTATACAGGCATTTTCTCTGACAGCAGCCTTAGATCCTTTTTGCAGGGAGCTAACAGGAAATAAGCATGGAAATAATAAGGGAATTTCATACATAATTTTGAAACTGTCGAGAATTCCTAGATTTGCTGCCTCCCAACCCCAGCTTGCTGCAGAGAGGGGCCTCAGCTGCCACACCCCAACCCGGCTAGACTTTCTCCTGGGGAAACCCAAAACGGCCGCCAGGGGCCAGGAGCTTCTCGGAACTTCTGCTTTACTCTCTGCTGACTAAGGGACACATGTCTGAGGCTGGTCTCTGCCAGCTCACATCAGCTGCCCACTCATACCCACCCACCCAATGCCCACATGGCCTCATCCTCCACCCTCCAGCCATAGCAGTACCCTACCCAGCGAGAACCCCTGAAACCCTGGGGGTGCAAAGCCCTTCACGGCATAAAAGAAGAAGTTCTTTAAGCACCGAGGTCGTGAGTGACTGCATGGTCTTTCCCGAGTCATGACTTGAGGTACTTACGGACTGGATGCAGAACTTCCTGATGGTGTAGTCCACTAGGACCACACAGTCCTCCACACACACACGGATGCTCCCGTACGTCCAGCAGCCCTGGTCAGGCCAGTACTGGTGGCACTTTTCCTACCGGGGAAAATTAAACAAAAATAAACAGAGCTGTGGGGCTCCCTCTATTACCCCTCCCCACCATCCTCACAGACAAACAACTCATTTGCAGACAACCCTGTCTTCCACACAGACAACCCTGCCCTCCATAGAGATAATTCCACCATCCCCACAGACAACCCTGCCACCATACAGACAACCCCACCATCCACATAGACAACCTCACCATCCGCACAGACAACCCCACCATCCACACAGACATACCCCACCATCCTCGCAGACAAACCCACCATCCACACAGACA